TTTGCAGTTGATTGTCCATATTTTTTGCGATATATTGAGTGCAACTAACAAGATCATGGGTGTAATATATTACTCCAAATGGTTGTGCAGAAAGATTTCGAAATTGCAAAAAAAATTTATAAAATTTTAGTGAGTAATAATTTGGGTCACATTTTTCTATTAACGAACAAATAAATAAACATTGAATTAAAATTATTTTGTTTACTTTATCGTATTCTAAATATTTAATATATCCTCGTAGGTAAAATTCAATATTTCTATAAAATATTTATTTCATACGACGACGTGAGAAGAATTTCGTAATAATCCTTTATATATTCATTGATGGCAAATAAATCCAAGCTATCTTGAATTTGATATTTATTGTTTTTTTCTGACGAGTGTCTCAGATGAAATTATATATTTTTAATTGTGTTACTCCACAAACATAATCCCAAAGGTCTTTTATTTTTAATTACTTATAATATAGAATGCTTGGCTTGCTTCTGAAAACAGTCCGCAATGGAAATTTCAGTCTAAAAATCGTTATATTCAATATGGTTTTGAGAAAAATAATTTTAAAATATCTTAAAATTAATTACAAAATAGGATTTTCAGATCAAATTTGGGGGAATTTTAACATAAATAAGTGTTTTTGTTAAATAACTTGACTATCGTTTAAACTAGAAAGAAGTGAATTTTGAAAGAGTAAAACCAAATTTGGTAGATTTTCACACTTTTATTTTAAAAATAAAAATTTTTTTTTTTTTTTTAAAAACACTAACATGACATATGTTTCGAAGTACAACTTCTTTTTCAAAAAGAAGTTGTACTTCGAAACATATGTCATGTTAGTGTTTTTTTAAAAAAAAAAATTTTTTTATTTTTAAAATAAAAGTGTGAAAATCTACCAAATTTGGTTTTACTCTTTCAAAATTAAATGGATTTTCATCAAGTAAAGGCCGAAACAATAAATAATTTAGAAAGAAGTGGTTTGCATAGTTGAATTTCTCTTTCAAAGGTCTATAAAATTGTTTCATGCTAGGTTGTCTGTAAGGCAAGATAATAGGATTTCCAGATTGCATTTTATGAAAAAAGTTTTTGTTAAATAACTTGACTATTGTTTAAACTAGGAAGAAGTGGTTTGCATGGTTAAATTTCTTCCTATAAATACATATTTTGGCTAAAGCACTTTATCTAACTAGATTCGTATATTACCTTTTATTAAAACAAATATTAGAAATTTTAGTGAGTAATAATTTTTCTTATAACGAACATATAAATAAACAATGAATTAATCATAAATGCACAAGTAACCTAAAAAGGAAAATCTGTTTACTTACGTTAAATAAAAGATACTTCTAGAAAGACATTTTAATAGCTTTAAAATAACCATTAAAGCTACCACAGTAAGATCTTCACCAATAGTAAGATACATAATTAATATACACTGAAATTAAAATCACTAATTATAAGATTAATCGACTTACCTGTAGGGATGATTAATCTTAATTATTCGAGCGTCGTAGTCCTTCTATGATAGGGCCCACCCTGCCCTAGGCCCTAGATGCAGTTGGTGCAGTTTATCAAAAATGAAACTGAGCCAGGTACATGGGTTTATCGCCAGGCCGATGTGGGTACCGTATAGCAGTTTTTTGGCTTTAAAATCATTGCACGCGATCCACAATAAAGTGTATCTATCAACTATCATAGAAGGACGAAGACGCGATGAATAATCGCAAGTAAATAGTTCACTAACAATAGGTCGTCTAAAAACTATTTAATCACTAACAATAGGTGAATAATTTCAGAAATCTCGTTTTACTCACCATAAGTAAATAGTTAACTTTTCCCATATAACATACAACTTATTTGTGGTATGTAAAAGTTGAGCTTTCGCTTTGATTATACCTAAATCTACCTTGGTCAAAGAATCAGTAATTTATAGTAGAATTAAAATCTTTACAATAAAAATATATTCCATATCTCTCTCTCTATCTTTCAATATTTTATCCATTGTATTTTTAAGTGCCCGAAGTAAACAAAAAATATGCGTTGTGCTTGTATTTCACGCTTCATCAACAGGAAGAGTAGCCGATATTTCAATAATACATCACTTTCCCATATAGAATACTCAGCTAAATTGATTATCCTTCAATAATCGGCTACGAAAGAATTTAGATAAATGAGAAAACATTTTATTCTTTCAAAATGTTACTTTATTGATTTCTTTTAAGGCATTCTGACCGATTAAATTTCCGGTATGAGTTTGATGTAGATTTTAAAGTCGAAAGCAGTTTAAAACGAAATATAAAAATATAAGTACTGTTGATGAATAACAGATAAAATAAAAAGTTTTATTATGAAAAGCATTTGGACAGGTAAAAATAAAACAAACATATTTTGATTCAAAGAGTTAGTTAAAAAGGTTAACATTTTTACGGTAAATATGGTGTTATACATTTTTTATTATTTTTTTTTTATGAATTAACCTTTCTGCTAAGGTTAAACCTAAATAATGCATCCTGGACTGTTAGGGTGATCAGTGATAAGAGACAGTTAGACGATTCTTGGTGTGGTTCAGTGGTTCATTCGTTGTAAAATGCGTTCATTAGGTCCGTGTAAAATTGGGCGGGATATTCATGTTCCTTATGTATTTGGTTTCTTTTCCTTGTAGTTAGTTTGGATCGTTTTTATTTCGCCAACAATCTATACAATTTGTAGATAGCTACGTAAAGTACAGTTGAACACACACCATGGGGCGTTTGTTATTATGCGTAGTACCTTTAATTGTAGCTTTTGAATAATGTTTACGTTTGATAGTTTGATACAGCCCTACAGTTGTATCCCATAAGACATGTAGGTTTAAATATTCATTTATATAGTAGCAGCTTATTTTTGAGTGATTACTTTGATTGGGGATATCAGCAATGACGATTATATTAAATATTTAATGTTAAAAAACTTCTAACGGATACGAATGTCGGCGAGTGCATCCGAAAGCTATAAAGTCGCCACTACCTGCTGCCCTTAAACATCCAGTTTTAGAACATAAACATCTGCGCATGCTTAGATGTCAAAATAAGAGCGGCACTAATAGTGACTGACCTTAAGTGAACTTGCAATAACTCTCTTATTAAGGACAGGCACAATCTTTATTAAAGTTAGTGATCTGCGCATGCTCAGATGTCAAAATAAGAGCGGCACTATTAGTGACTGACCTTAAGTGAACTTGCAATAACTCTCTAATAGTATTTTTTCTTAACTGTTCTGTCAATAAACTCTAGTTCTCCTATATCACTAGCAGACATACAACCTGTAGTGAACTAATGTAGTGAATTTGCCTAAAGAGTATTAATACTACGAACTTTGTTTCTAAGGTTTACTGTATATCGTCAATGTGTTATTTTGTATGTCAATTTTCGCTAAATAAAGCCTTATTTTAGATGTTATTCCTCATTACACAACCCCACATCATTTGTCCTTCTGCAAATTTGACTTTTCTTTATGGAAAATTTCTTTCCTATTTCGATATAAAACAGAATGGGGTGCGCAAATTTTTTAAAAAATCGATATTGACATCAAATAATACATCGAATATAGATTATCGATACTGTAAAAAAAATCGAAAAGAAAATTTGAATCATTGTAAATATCGATGTTTATAATGTCATGAAAATTCGTAAGCCGTCTCTGTCTAAACTCTAAAGCAAGCGACCTTCAGCTTGCCACCCAACTCATGCTCGAGACGACGAAATCTCCTAGGAATGCCGCTCGAGGAACGGCCAGAACGGGCGATGCGTGCCGTTGAATCAGAGATGGAATTTTCGGGAGCGTCTAGAGACTTCTCGTAGCAGAGTTGGACTTGGTATAAATAGCCGACTTATCGGCGTACAGTTTTAGTTTAGTAGAGAGCATTGTAATGAAAAGTTAAAGTGTAATAAATAAATTAGAATTGCTAGTTAGTGTCTAAGTATTATATAAATTAAATAGTACGTCTTAAATAAATTGTAAATAGTGTGCTTTAAATAAATAAACTATAAATAAATTAGACTATCGCCACAATAATATGAAATAAAAAATAACCATAAAAAAACAGAGCACTACTTTCATTTGATAGTATATGCTAAGTGTTTACCTTTAGCATGTAGTAGACACCCTAATACAGGATATGCTCATAATAATAGACATTAAAGAATAGAAATATATAATGAAAATCGTGCAAATTTTTTAAATCTATATTTCCAAGATTTCATACTTCTTATTTTTTTAATTCTTTCTTTGGCCTTAACCATTCAATATTTGAACTTTACAGTTGTTTGGATTTGTAAAGTTTCTTTTTATTCTATAATACGTAAATACATGTCAAGAATATACCATTATTTTTATATAATTTTAAAAATACATCTGGACCATGTAAATAAATTATTTTCTCATCGTCGTATTATTTACGACACAGTATTAACGTGTATTCAGATAATTTTTTTTAAAATAATCATTTTAAAATTTATTTATTTATTTTAGTAATGCTTCTAGCCATTAAGCTATATAATATTAAAGTAAAATTTGATTTAGAAAAAAAAAATGTTTCTGAGAATAAACCTTCAAATTCTAAAAGAATTATGCACAATATTTTCTACAATATTTTTTAAAATTTATTAATAGAAATTTCACAGATACTATTTAACTAAGTAACTCTAATGGATATGAAACGTCAATCGCGAAAAGGTTATTTTAATATATTAATAATGCACGTTACCGATTTTTCACTGAGTGCACTAATACGCCAAGTTAAATTCAAGTGTACTTACTAAAAACATACATTACTTACTCGTTCTCTGTCTTTCCCATAAAACCAGTCATTCCAATCATCTCACAAAGAGGTTTTATTCAGAAAATATTTATTTAAAGTAAATATTATTACAGAAACTTCAATTCCCATATTTCTTTAAAATATTGTTTACTAAACTTAATGTTACATGAAAACATCTAATGAATATAGATTTTTCTTATATTTTCAGGTAGCGTGGCTAAAAGTGGATACACAAACAATACTTACAATACACAACCACGTTATTACTAAGAACAATCGTATAGGTGTATCAAATAGCGAGAGGAACATCTGGCATCTCCACATCAAGGATGTTCGTGAGTCTGATCAAGGATGGTACATGTGTCAAATCAACACGGACCCAATGAAAAGCCAAGTTGGTTATCTGACTGTTGTTGGTAAGTTTTATATTATATCATTACTATCTATTATTTATTTTTATTGGACAATAAAACTGAACAATGTCACAATACATAATGATAATAAAATTCATATTTTTAAAAAGCAGTATATATAGGGCGAAATGGAAACAGTCTTATACAGGGTATCGAAGTTTTAGAGATTTTGATGCTGCTAATTTAAAATTGATGAAGTTGATGAAAAATTAATTAAAAATTGACGAACAGTAATAATTTGCAGTTTTATTTATTGTAATTTAATAAAAATTACTTTCTGTAATTATTAAAGACTATTCATTCAATACAAAATCAAGAAGGATACAACTAAATATATTAAACATAAAAACTAATAAGAATTACTGTTTCTTAAAAAATAACATGAAAAATAAGGTTAGGATTAATTTTTTTCCCATGAATTGCACTTTGGCACTGAACAGTAATAATATTTTATTTTACTTCATGTATTTAATTCACGTTACTTTGAGACTTTGGAAATTGATTTTATTTTAAACGCAATATAAGATCGTTAATCATACACTAATGTATAAATGTGTAGTTTCGTTTTTAAACTGGTAATGGTGTATCGCTTATTTTTAGATCCCTAAATCAAAGAAAATACCAATTCTAAGAAAGCATCCGGGTATTATCTGATTGCAGGTAAAATACTAAAACAATTGTCAAGAAAAGCCGTGGATATAATTACGAAGCAACATACCAATAGCCTCTCAAAACATATAACTTTCTCAGAAACAGTTCCACCTTAAAAGCTTTAATAAGGACTTCTACACAGCCTTAAAATTCATTCTAATAGTCGTGGGATCCCCTGTATAAATAAACAGTAGAGCCACTTGTGGTAAATACTAAATACCCGAGCGATCTTAATTAACCCATCCGCCCTCGGGTTAAATTAAACGGAACCGTTTGGTTCGCGTCGTACTCGTATTATAGAAAAATGTCGCATGAAATAAAAAACCTTTATTGTGTTTTAATTTAGAACGATAAAATGAAAGTAATAACAGAGCTTATTGAAAAAAAGAAAACGGTATGGCTTAAAGCATTTTCGTTGTGCCATTTCACAAAACGACTTTCGAATGCTCTTTCAGTTATCAGACGAAATAAGCAATGCCATTTCTGGCCAAAATACCTACTCGTGTGATATTATCTGACACGCTGATGATGTAAATGTACATTCTTGTGCTGATAATAGACATTTAGAGCATTATTTTCCGTTTTGCGTGGTCTTATGTAAGCAACATTTAGGTTGGTGAGCGAACATTTCGTGCAATTAAAGGAAAGCCTTTATATTTATCCTGTTCGCCGTCGAGATCGTTGAGTCCTAAATGAAATTTTATGATATGTATATGACCTTATTAAAAATCGTATGCATGCAAAAGCAGTTTTCGTGAATTTTTCTATAGGTTTTACGACTTCGGTAACACTTTTAACAATTTATTGAACAGTTCGTTTAATATTAAAAGCATTGCTTCTCTAATTTCAGCTTTGCAGGTCATGGAACAATTATTTTTATTTCATTTATATTTAATACCAGCAGGACCGGGCTTAATATTTTCGATAAAGTAAATCATAGATAAATAAAAAGATATTGGTTGTATTATAGGTAGGACTTATTTCCTTGTTTGAAGTTCAGCCTGTTGCTAACATTAAATATAAACCCGTTTACATACATAAAATATTATTTTTTATTAAAAAAGAAATCAATAATTTTACTGATACAACCCTTCACTTTAATCCAATATAATCGTTAATAAATATAAAGTTTCAGCTACATTTAAATATTATGAGACGGTGTAAATCTAATAAATTAGCTTATGTTACCCTAGAATATGTCAGTCTGATATTTTCACGGAATATTTAGAAGCTTATTTTCAGAAGAAATTTTGGAAGAAGCAAAAATGTATATTTAAGATAAATATTCAAAAATAATGTGTTTGGTTAGTTTATGCAAGTACGAGTAAATGAAGAAGATAAAAATGTCTCGAAATGTCGTTCCTTGTCTTTGACAGTTCGAGAATATTCGAGAAGGTTAAAGCAAGCTATATAAGTAGGGATCCTGACGTCAGACTTCAGTTTTATGATAGACGTTATACGTTAATGTTATCAATTGGATAGTTATTGTAAAAATTGAATTGAGTTATTGTAAAAGTTGGATTGAATTAAATTGAGATACCAAAAACCTGCGTTACAATACTGGCAAAATTTTCTAAATTTTACATGTATACTCACCCGGATCCTACAATTTAGGAAAATAATTATACCACTGTAACAAGAATTTTTTTTGATAGTTTGCATAAATCCAGGAGATATTTACTAGCATAACAGTACAAAGATAGACCATCCCTTTATTTCCACTGCAACTACGAAACATTTTGAAGCAAAAATAATGCGATTCGGTAAACAAGTCCACAATTGTTACGGTTAAATGCGGATACTTTGTGTATTTTACTATTAGATTTCGTTTTGTATATTAGGTACGAAAACACAAAGGTTTTCCAAGAAAGCAATATATGTACACTAATGTTAGGATTCGGACACAATAAACAAAATGGTCTTAGAGATAATATATAGCTATTTATTTTGTGTAAAAAGTGTAGATAAACGAGCAAGAAATTGATAATTACAGTGAAAACATGGGATATTTTTGTACTATTTATTTATAATTTATGTACTATTTGCGTACTATTTGCGGACTATTTGTGTACTATTTGCGTACTATTTGCGGACTATTTGCGTACTGTTTGCGTACTATTTGCGTACTATTTGCGTACTATTTACGTACCATTTGCGTACTATTTGCGTATTATTTGCGCTCTATGTGCGTATTATTTCTGTACTATTTAGGACACAAAGTATACCAGTGTATAAAATTTTCCCAGTGGTTTAACCCTTCGGATGCAGCCATATCAGAGTGGGTACAGCAGCTCTTATACTCTATGTTCTAAAATATATAAATAAGATTAAACCCTTAAAATGTTTAATAATTATCAATTCTTTTAGGGCTGTAATGAGTATGAAAAAAATCTACCCAAGTCATTGAGTGTTATCATTTGTATCTGTATCTGTAACGTGTGGAGGGTGGGTTACCCCCACGGCACTTAGGCCTCATTAGGCCCATTGAGCATTCTCCTGAGATGATAGGCACCTCCTAGCTCATGAGTCAGTCTACAGATTTAATGTAGTTGACAACGTCGCTAAGAGGTGCTTCTCTTATATCGGCTGGTGTTTTGTCAGGCCAATAGAAGGGCCAGGTCCAAAAAGTATTTGGTTGGCTGCTTTCTTAGCTAGTAAATCAGCAAGACGGTTTCCTTTCGATGTGGCGTGACCTTCGATCCATCCTATCCATTGTTAATGGGTACTTCGGCCAAAGCTTCGTGAAATTCTAGTACTAACCCTGAATAAATTCGTGGTCTGTTCAGGATGAGTAGTGCTTGTCTTCTATCTGTATAGATGAGCATATTCCTTTCAGTGATATTGTTTCTGGTTATTTCTTTTGCTGCTATGAGAATCCCCGTTAGCTCTGTTTGAACTACACTGGCACTATTGCTTACAGCCCATTTTAAGTTTAGATTTAAGAATCTGGAGTATATTCTACATCTTGAGCCTTGTTTTGTTTTAGAACCGTCGGTGTAGATATGAATCGTACCTGCCACTTCTGGCTCTTCTATTAGTTTTATTATAACTTTATATGGCTTATGGAAGATATATCTCGGTGAGATGGAGTCCATGTTCATTTAAAGCAGTGGGAGCATATCGAGCGCCTCCTTTCAAAAGCGACGTCTCGCCTCACCAGATCCTACATCAGGTTCTATTCCAACCGTGAGGAGGCATGTCATTATCGTCAGAGCAACCTCCTTAAAGTAAATATCAAGGAGAGTGAGACTAAGAATGACTTCCATGGCTCTGGTCGGTGTTGTTTTCATGGTTCCTGTTATGTTGAGACATGCTGTTCTTTTAATTTGTTCTAGTTTACGGATATCTGTTAATTTTTGGGTTTTCGGTACCCAGTCAATTGCACTGTATGTTAGCATAGGTCTTATAATAGCCGTGTAAGTCCATGCGACGACTTTGGGACAATGTATGCTCTTTTAACTCTGTTTTCTAAATGCGAGTTCCATGTTAACTTGCTGTCAAAGGTGAGACCTAGATACTTCACTTCTGTTGCAAAGTTTAGTTTTGTGTTTAGGACTTCTGGAGGTTTTAATTCCATTTTCATTCTTTTCCTTGTGAAAAGGACCATTTCTGTCTTCTTAGGATTGATAGACAGTGAATGGTCCTTGCACCACTGTTCTATAATTTTTAGAGCTACTTGCATTCTTTCGCAGAGTATGTTCTCAAAATTACCTGTTTGCAGAATGATCAGGTCATCTGCATATGCTATTGTGTATTGTATATTATTTCTAATCATACTTGTTCCATATCTTTGTATTCATTGCGATCGCTTCTGCATTCATTGCTTCTATCCTATTTAAATCGGTAATTCCTTGTATTGAGTTTGATCTAGCACTATTTTCTTCCTACTGGCTTTCAGTTCATTTGTACATTTTATTATTTCCTGATCTCCCTCTCGCTAGATATGCTCTGTCTATATTCGTTACTAATTATGATCGAAGAGGTTACAGGTATTGAAAAATATGGGAAGACCGAGAAAGATATGGATGGAAGTAGTATTGCAAGATGTTGCCGTAAAACAAATAAGGGACTGGAAAAGTCTGGCAAGTGACAGAGCAAAAGGAGTAGGAGTGGAAGTTTCTGGCAAAAATTTAAGAGTGGACATATCAATAAACCTGGGCACTTTTGTGATGACCTTCCAAGCCATAGAATTGAGCGCGAGAGAGTTGATCAGTCTTCCTCTCGTAAATAAGATCTTTTCAGATAGACAGACAACTCTTAAATATCTGGGCTCCAACCAAGTTGATTCAAGTGCCACGATTCCTAAAACAGAGCTATTTTAAGCTGTATTTTGAAGCACCGCGGTGTGGAGG